ATATATATATATATATATATATATATATATATATATATATATATATATATATATATATATATATATATATATATATATATACACAAAAATATATATATATATATATGATGGAATGAAAGTTATAAGCGTTGAATATAAATCTATATAAATCTATATACATGTTTTGCGATTTTGAATGCAATAAACTTAATCTGTCCTTCAATGCTATCATATTTTTGTTTCGATTTAATATATGAAAATAGTTCATCCATTGAATTCCACAGTGACTTGGTTTCATAAATTGTGTGGTAATGACAAATATTTATAATAGTTTGGATTTCCAAGCCTAAAACGACTGTGCAATACATGTAAATAAATGCAGCACCTCTATGCAGGAATATTCTATAAATGGATTTTGAAATTCAACCAGATATTACATTACCCTCGACGAAATTTTCTATTATTTGGAGAAACCCAGCGTAAACAACTAAACTGATAGAACCAGGTTCCACGGCGGCACAGCTCAATACAGCTTTCTAAGTAATCACATCAGTTAGAGCAACATTTAATAAAGGATGTGCCCAAGTAATATGAATATATCCAATCTTGTAAGTAACTTTGTATTGACTCGTAAAATAGTTCAATTGATCATAAACATTGCATGTAAATATAGGAAACGAATTTATTTCTCCGAAATGAACAAACCTGAAAAAGCTGTTAACATTACACGTGTCAAGTATCAAAGCAAAATACATAGAATACATTTCAAATGCGCGTTTACTGAAATGCTAACAATATTCACATTTTTTTTTTACTTTTTTGGCTTACGGTTGTAGCCGAGTTGGGAAAACTAATATTTTCTGTCAAAGGTTTAGCAATGCTTTGTAGATATTATTATATTGGAGATTCAACACCATCAACTTTTTGTGATTGCCATAAGATGATAATTTTGGTTATTATTTTTCAACGTGTTCAAACAGTTTGGTTCATTCGTAAGTATTTATTTAACTACCACTGATTTTTCCTGAATATAAATACAATTTCTTAAATAAGTCTTATCATACATGATTGTGCGGGAGTTTAATGTGAACATGTCTCCACCTAAACGTTGAAAACTGAATAAGCTTGTCATATTTCTACTTCCCGTGCAAAGTAAAATTTCTCTTTTACATTTGTTGTACCCCTAGCTAAAAGGAATATCGATAGACAATGGACGAGATGCGTGACATTGCATAAATCATGCCATATTATCTACTGGAAAATAGTAATAAAAATGAAAACTTATATGAATTGTATTCAATCCCTGCAAATTATGTTACTTTCTCAAGTTCATGAAATATAACATCAATAACATTTTCAATGAAAATCGTAATAATGTATAAAAAGGGATTAGGCTGCCAGACCCTATTTCAACCTGCTGTTCTTTGAATGAGACTTCTAACATCTTCATGTTTGCCGAATTTCAACTTTATTAAACAGTAAATGTCTCCAGTCCAGTAAGGCATAGTATATCTATTCAAAACACATCACAGTTGCATCACTGTTTTTTGAAAAGTAATTCAAACAATATTGTATGCCGACGTTCTCATTTTTATTTTATACAAATATATTATTTTATAAACACTTCTAATGAGATATATATCGTTTCCTCATTTATTCACATGTGACTATCGTATGTTTTGAAATTACCACAATGCTTCAAACAAGTTTCGGCGAAATAAATATACGCGGTTTGTTTGTTTGTTTGTTTTCGTTTTTGTCTATTTAACGAGTAACTAACAAGTCAAAGGTCAGGGTACAGGTTCCTCAAATTAAATATGTACAGATTAATTAAAATACACAGAAACCACAGCATAAAAATAAAAAATGTAAAACTAATTATTTTAACATGACGCCTAAAAGGGTATAATTTGCAAACATAGTTCAACTGTTCATTAAATTTTCAAAACGTCTGTGTTGAATATTTAAACATACTGGTGTAGCTCCGCTCCAAGGTCAAATTGAATAAATTTCAATTTTGAAATGATTTAAATAATTTTGTCACATTCCGGATTGAGTATGAAAACAAGGATTGGTGGAAAATTCAAGGGCAGTAGTAATAGAAATTTGTCTACCTTTTTAGAA